CCGCTGAAATTCTCAGAGGATGGAAGTGGACGCTGCCATCGAGGAAAGGGACGAACGCTTCGCACACTTGTACCAAAGGAAAGCACACAATTCTCACGCAATCCTCATCAACAAATAAATACAAGCGCGGTCAGAATATCAGTGCTGAACCGAAGTCCTGCACCGAAGGAACTCGCGTGGGATGGAACCTGACGTACCAAAGAAACGGCATATGATTGATCCGACACTGGAGGTTTGGTGGAGGAGGTAGATGAGTTCAAGATAGAGAGCGTGCATACTGACTGACGCATACAAATCCCTGTCTACTAGGCTGATCGGATTTGGCACACAGAGGCTAGTCTCGTTTTTAACAGAGTGCATGTTTATTCGCAACCGGGTAGCGAGCTTCTGGTGGCAAGTGCGAGCCAAATTCGAACTGAACATGAAGATACGTTGCAAGTGATCGCATGCGAGGCGGATAGTGCTGCCAGGCGGGCGCCTTTACAGTTGTAACGTTCAGTCCTGGCCAATTAAAGGTATCTTTAGGCAGACGTGAAATATGGCGGCGAACTACTTAAGGGGTGTGAGTGTCGAAAACAACCATAGCGTACACAACGGAACCGCTCGGGACAAGTTCATACACCGTGCACTGCCTCGGTGACGCTAATTAAGTGCTGCATGCGAATCATCCAGCACCGGAATTCAAATAAATCGAGTTTTGATTAGAAAACGTGTCACCTGATAATGGTATGCAGCGGTGTGCCCTGATTACAGACCGGAAGTGAGCATGGTCGTTTTGTTTTGGAGCTGTGGGTCTCGCAGTCGGGTGCAAAACACTCCCATCTGTTCAAGTGTCTACGAGCCCAACCGATATGACATTGACCCATGATGCAGCGCTGACATACTCTGGTCCGAACTCCGGGTACAGGTGGCTGATGACACCAAATGAGCCGCAAAAACCCCCTATTCTGCTCATAACATTTATTAATTTTATATGACTTAACATGCCTACCGACCCTGATTAAGTAGACATTTTGTTTATTACTTAGCTGTACACGATGGCTGGTGAGTACATTCGGCACCGACTGCCCATCGAAGACATTCGACGCGTTGCTGTGGAATCCTCCGCCCTATTTAGATCCAGCATTTACGAGGGCCTCGTTTACGTAATCACGCAATACAGGTAAGTCCTGCTGTTTGAATTAAAATCTGACAGGTTACTCCGCGTGTACGAATCGATGTGCATGGGGTATAATGACGGGAGGACACCTATGATTCCGTTCGGTATCCTATGAAGAAAAACCACATCTCACCTAGACCAAAAAGTGAACCATTAAGCGGTGGAGGGGGTTAGGAGGGTCACCTCATAAGTCATACACCGTTGGCTTCTAAGTGTTATGCCTCCTATTAATTCATGATGATTCAGAACTTGCAGGCATTGGTAACAGAGAATCTGACTTGTATATTTTTGAAAATCACAGAAACGGCAGATCTCCTATCGAGACGTCAGACTCCAAAAGCGACTTAGGAGAAGTGGAGGCGAAAACCGCCTTGAAATTCAAATGAAGAACCACTTTCTATTAGCAAACAAAAGGAATAGACCGGTGGCCTTTGGAAATTAGGGAATTATAAAGGACATAACAGCCGAAGCACAAAACTCTTACAAGTACTTTCGAGTTCGCCGAGACCAGATACATGAGGTGCTGCGAATCAAGAAACCTTGATGGAGGTATTTAAATATACCTTAGAGTCGGGAGGATTACCTTACTGAGTTCGCAAAAACAATCAGCATGGAATACGATTGCACGCTAGTTCATACAAGGTGAAATAATGGCGTCGGTTTGGGTAACTTTTAACCCGCCTTGGACCTCTACCAGCTGATGTCTTCATGGGAAAACTAGAGAAAAACCAGGTCTGTCCAATTATAAGGAACTTTTATTCCTATGCTCGATATGTTAATTACATTTTCGCAAAAGAGGATGAAAAGCTTGATTAGAACACCCTCCTGAATAAAGGCAACAAGGCTCACCCAGCGTTAACCTTCACTGTGTAAATCTCGCATAAATTACTCGAACAACTATTTATGCTTGTGCTTATTCAGTTATATCATCTAGGGGTTAAAGAGGTGAACTCCACTCACTGCACACACTTTTCAAACGAACAAGCAGCTCCGAATTCTACTCTTTAAGTTCTACTCTTTAAGTTCTACTCTTTAAGTTCGCCAATTCCTCTTTGTTAGCAAACATGGCCTTCGTGTTCATTGAGTTCAGCGTTCCCAAACTATACGCCACGTAATTTCTTGAGAACAAAATCATAAATCTCTTGATTTTCCTTAAAATAAGCTTCCCGAGACATATAAGTAGTGCATCGAATATTAACAATAATACGTATTTTAGAAGCAGCACTATCGTCTGCAGATGCAGGAAGAAAAATCAGGTAATCGCACAAGATGTCAACGAAAACCTCTTTAAAACCGAAATACGTCCCTAAGTGTGAAATCCAAATGTACATGATTTCCCTAACAACTCTACAACATATTCGTGTTTAGGGTATCGGGCAGGCGTCCTTGGTAATTTCACTAAGGGATTACGATATCTCTTCAGAACGAAATGACTGACAGTCAGTTTGCATATACAGAGCCATAACTACTATTGTAAAATTAGTAGGGCGTTTTACAGCAATGAATATCAATCATCGTTTACACTCCTAGGAAATATGATCGAATGCATGCAAGCACATAAAGTCAGTGGAACGGCCCCAGTAGCGTTTTTGTAAGCGTGGTCATCCCCGGCGACATGGAAGGTGCGCAGACAAAAGCTGGCATCGCTCTGTGAATGAATTTGCTTAGATGCGCCTCATGTTAACTAGCACTGCGACCTTGGCTAAGTTGCATTTCCTATATGAAAACATGTGCAAAAAATCTTTACCAACTTTCCGAGAGTCTCGGAGCCTACTGAGCATTTATCTGAGGTCTCGAACGTATGTACAACCCCAAAATCAGATAGTGGGAATGTTGTAAAATGATACGGCGTATTTGCACAAAGGCAGTACAAGGAGTCATTGGCTTAACCTTGTTTGAGGTAGCAGCGTATGGTCTGCTACGTAAGTGGGCGGCGTGATGAACGAGTCGCAGCCTAGAACACGCGCAACCGACCCCAGAAAAGGTATGCCAATGACGAACTGGACACGGAGGTGCTGCAAAACCATTCTCCCAAGACTCAGGCATGAATCAGGTGTCAAATCAACTACACGTTAAACAGAAAACCTGAACGTGTGACGGGACGTACACAGCCGCCTCAAGCCAAAACTGGCTCGGCATGACTTAATTCCCCGTCGACAAGTTCCTTATCTGATAATCAACTCAAAAATGAGCTCCGAACATCCGGTAAATAAATCACGATAATCCAACCTCTCTTCTGAGATAAACGATAACGTAAACAACCATTATGCTTAAAGTAGCCAATAGATAGGTGCAGGTCTTCTTGCCTTTTAAACAACAGCTTGAACTCTTTCGAATGCGGAAACCAAAGCTGTTTAAGTGGTTTATTAACTACGAGCAGACGCAGTAGTCCAAACCATAGAATTTTAAAAGGCGAAATGCAGGCATCGCCCGTGGGAAACAATGAATAGGATAAGTGAAACACATCCGAGAGCGGCAAACATTTGTAGGTCCAGAAAAAGGATTGATAAAAAGATCCGGCTAAGTTGCCCTGAATTGGTATTTTAACATAAGCCGGCCGGATAGCACGATGTAACGCTCACTAGGCATCAGGTATGCCTGTCACATGTTTGTAACATTTAATGACGGGTTTAATCACCAGACCGGAAGTCAAGCTTGTTATTGCACCACACCGATAAGACAGAGAAATTATCAAATATTCGAAAGAATAACGCATATTTCTCTTGCTTTTCTAGAAAAATCCTAAGCTCTGGTAGAGGAGCCCTGTACGAAGGCAACTAGGATCCCTCCAAGTCAACTCTGGACAGAAATATGGCATCTAAACGCCTACAAATACATCCGCCCTGCTTACCCATCAACAAAAGCACCAACATTCGATGTGCAACCCACACCCACCCCTCTTACTCGATTATTCGTGACTAAGCTGTTTCGTTATATAATTTGGAGTTATGCTATTGTCACAGCCCAGAAAACCGAAGACAGCCTGTCCCCGATTACGCACAGTGACTATCGAAACAGGAAAACGTTGATTTTATTAACAAAAATACGAAGGCTTCAGGACTGAAAAGTGCTTCTTTCGAAAAGCCCCATACTGGCCTAATACTCCACAGCATGTCAGATCTGAGCGCGGCACACTGCGTCGTGAACCAGGTTGTGTACAGCACACGTAGACGGGGAAAAAGAGTGAGACCGACTCTGAGGATTCCATCCCAATGGGACTTCGGCGCATTCCCCACTATAATAAGTCTGACAAGCTAGAATCAAACAGGATACACTAAAAGCCGTCGCATAGAAGGATAACTCGGCCCTCGCGATCAGTCCTAAATATGTGTGTTGAGCGGCTGACTGATGGACTGACAATTAGGCTGCAATTGCTCCTTCTGAATGTGGCCTCTGCGACACTCCCAGCTGAATGGGATCCAAGCCTACCACCTTTTCGTTCTGTGAAAGCCTAGTTCATTATGCACGAACGAGACCGTGCGTGGCGCATGTAGACGCCTTGCTTGACTTCACCAGCCACTGAAGCTTAGGTCAAGATTGATAAACTGAATGAGTCTATGATAATGTATGTGAGGCAGCATGCCGACTGCAGGTCGGATGAAACAACAAATATGTAGGGATGTTACCTACTCAAATAGATACAGTAGTTATTCTTTCTAGGCAACAGATATTTGGGTGCCCTCTCCCGATTGTTACCGTCCAGGTGGGTGAGAATGGGGTGTGCAGCAGATGCTGCGCGAACCTGATATCACTATAAATTAATTCACGCGCAAGCCACCGCCCTGTGAGGGCTAGGCATACTTACTTACTTGTACTTGATACGGCTGCGATCTTGCCTGATCTAGCCGGCCTCGATGATGTCACGAACTGTACCTCTTCGCTCGTGACGATCCGCGGCAGCAGATCTGGACAGCTCAACCCATTCCCCTCGCCAACGACGCAGACCGAATACCGAAGGTCCAAGAACCACCTCCATGTCTTGACGAACTGTGTCGAGACAGGTTTTGAACAGACCCCCTCTTCGACGCCTCCAATGGGGCAACGGTGCCGGATCGAGGGCAGTAACACTGAGCTCCTGAGGTGAACGACGAAGAACATGCCTAAACCACCTCAGTCGTCCTTCTTGGATGGCCTGGGCTGTCCTTGCGATGTTGTCGCAGCGAGCGCGGACTGTCTCATTTGAGACGATGTCGGTGTGCTTCACTCGAAGGATGGTCCTCAAGCTGTGGTGATCAAATACCTCCAGTTTTCTCTCGTCCCGCACGCGCACAGCCCAGCATTCACAGCCATGCCGAAGGGCAGACCGGACAGATGCACGTTACAAGCGAATCTTAGTGGTGATGGAGAGGTCGCGTCAGATCCATAGGCTTTTTCTAAGACTTGAGAAAACCCGTCGGGCAGCATTAATTCGGGAGATATCACTTTAAATTAATTCACGCGCAAGTCACCGCCCTGTGAGGGATAGGCATTAGACTTCATCGTTCGCGAACTGACGTACTGGCCAGCACTGTTCTAGCATTATCGGGTTTCAAAGGCACGTCTTGTCAGTGTGGAGGTTCTTGCGGATGAAGTGTCCGTTACGTGTTTGCCAGAGTGATCATAATTCGACGCAGTGGATAGTAGTGCAGAAGGACTGAATACACAGGTTAAAACGCTCAAAACGAGTGTGCTAGGTTTCGGTATTTTTATATCAACCATAAATGTATCAAAAACCTCCGACAGACTACCTGTCGATGGTCGAAACAGTTAGGGATAAAAAAATGAGCATTCTGGCGGAACATAGTCGTTCCGGTCCGTTGCTTTTACTCATTTGAGCACTTTCGATATTTATTTACACTTCTAGAGTAGCACAAAGAAGCCTTTTGCGATTCCATAAAAAGCCGTTTTGACTAGCAGTTTGAAGAAGAGGTTTTAGAATGAATCTGTCAGAAGAACAACCGCTGAGAATGGAGTGCATGAGTCATGGCTAACTAGATATTTGTGAATGAAACTGAAGATGGGCCGGGCAACCGGAAGGACAAAGAGGGCAGGGTCGGGTGTTCCACACTTGGGTATGGCTGGCTGACGACGGCTAATAAGCCAGAAATGGCCATTCCAGTCTCCCTTGTCTTTGTCGGTAATATCATTCTGCCTATATATCATGCGCCGCTGTGCGGCTGCTAGTTGGGCTCGAGAGAGAGAGCCCTTAAGGCACAACGGAACGAGTGACTTCCGTATGAACGATCGGTGAGCGCCCCCTAACATTGTATATTCCCGATCGAAAACCGACAAGGCAACGGGCTCGTGGCCCGGTGAGTAGAGGCGTTGACTTCTAAACCAACAGGTCGCGAGTTTGAGGCTCGGGTGTTCCACACTTCGGGCTTGGGTATGGCTGGCTGACGACGGCTAATAAGCCAGAAATTGCCATTCCAGTCTCCCTTGTCTTTGTCGGTAATATCATTCTGCCTATATATCACGCGCCGCTGTGCGGCTGCTAGTTGGGCTCGAGAGAGAGAGCTCTTAAGGCACAACGGAACGAGTGACTTCCGTATGAACGATCGGTGAGCGCCCCCTAACATTGTATATTCCCGATCGAAAACCGACAAGGCAACGGGCTCGTGGCCCGGTGAGTAGAGGCGTTGACTTCTAAACCAACAGGTCGCGAGTTTGAGGCTCGGGTGTTCCACACTTCGGGCTTGGGTATGGCTGGCTGGCGACGGCTAATAAGCCAGAAATGGCCATTCCAGTCTCCCTTGTCTTTGTCGGCAATATTATCCTGCCTAAATCAGAACAGTTGTTGGAAACCCGCCTACACCTATCATTCCTGTGAAACCTCGTGAAATATGTCAGGCAACGGAATTACGACCCATGTTATGGAGTCCGCGGGAGCCGACGCGGTCCGCAACCCTGACCCAGTGATGGGGGGCGAATAGTATGTGAGATGGACTACTTGCTAGCGGATGCTGCAATGTGCAAACGTTCCTGGACCCTAGTATCAAAGGCCTGGCCGTGCGCAGCCTTTATCAATACAGCGGGGGAGTCTGCTCTGTCTGAAGTCAGAGTTCCTGACTCAGGATCTCGGGGAATAAAGGCTTTTAAGCCAAAGCGCTAGGGGAGACAACCTCAAACAATCCGAACAGCTGTTGGGAACCCGCCTACACCTATCATTTCTGTGAAACCTCGTGAAATATGTCGGGCAACAGAATTACGACCCATGTTATGGAGTCCGCGGGAGCCGACGCGGTCCGCAACCCTGACCCAGTGGTGGGGGGCGAATAGTATGTGAGATGGACTACTCGGTAGCGGATGCTGCAATGTGCAAACGTTCCTGGACCCCGGTATCAAAGGCCTGGCCGTGCGCAGCCTTTATCAATACAGCGGGGGAGTCTGCTGTCTGTCTGAAGTCAGACTTCCTGACTCAGGACTCGGGAAATAAAGGTCCCGGGAGTAGACTCACGCTTCGGTCAATACCACAGCGGCCTGCACGACTCTTCTGGTAGACATGGTGTGGCGATCGCCGTTTCGCAACAGGCGAATTGTGCGTTACTTGCTAGGGGATCAATAAGTGACCGGATGGCCTATGTGCGACTGAAGGGTCGCTTCGCGAGCATGCCTGTCTTCAGCTGCCGAACAGCGAGATAAAGAGGGATTTTACTCGCAGCCGCAAGCGTTAGTAGAAGGACTCCCCCGTCGCGATCTGCTGATTGTTACGGGAGACTGCAATGGCTAAACTGGACCTGGAGACCCTACAAACATTAATCTAATTGGCCACTTTGAGCTCGGTTCTCGATGTGACGGTGGCGAGAGACTGCTGAAATTTGCCGATCAGAACTGACTGCTTTTCACCAACACGTGCTTTCAGCAGCGTAACAAACATCTGCTGACCTGGTATTCAAACGACGGTCACACGGCCAGTCAGATTGACCATATTCTAGTCAACTCAAGGTTCCGCGGCTGGTTTTATGATAGCAGATTAATGCGTGGTACCGAGACTGGAGACGACCATGGGTTGTCCCATGTCCTCGTTCATATAGGCCCGAAAGTTCGCCTATCGCCCACGCCCAACATTTCACGTGCCGGACGCCTCGATGTCTCCACCGAGGCCCTGACTAGGGAAATCCTGCCCTGTTATACAACTCGAGCCGACGGAGAAGGCAGTAACCAGCGGTCGTCATTGGCATTAGTCTATGGGGCAGCCGAGGAAATTCTTCAATAAACCCAGCGACTGTGCAGTGACTGGATCGGTGGAAGAACCTGCAGTTGCCTGCTCAGACAGCTCGGGTCAAAGCCTATAATGACGACTCTTTACGTCAACTTCGGGGGCAGGTGGAAAAGTCGGCCAGGGATGACTGGAAGAAATATTGGGTTGAAATAGCGACCTATATGGAACAGTCCTAGGACGTTCGCCCAGTTAGTCGCAAGCTCCCTGTACTGATTGACTCTGTTCGCGACGTGGATAGCGGCCTTATTGCTGACAACTCGGCCAAAGTCGAGCGCTGGCGTAAGCACTTCGGGCACCATCTCAAATTTAATGCCCAACCCATCACGCCCTTGCTTCCCTCTGCTACGGAGTCTCCTCCCTCGCCAACCTATGATGCGACTCACCTTCTGAGCGGGAAGTCGCCGACGCCATAACAAGGCTACACAAAAACAAGGCACCCGAAGAGAACGGTATACTTGCTAATACCTACAAGTATTGTGTCAACACTAGTGCCCTGGCTCCGTAAGGTGATTTAACAAGCGTGGAAACACGAGGTTGCTCCTGATTACTGTGTCTCAAGCATGCTTACACCTGTCTTCAAGAAGGGAGATAGGACTAGATAGGAGAACCGCCGTGGCTGCGAAGATCTTCGTTGTTGTCCGTCTTAGGTGATTCCACACTATGCGTGAATCAACTAACCCGGATACCGTGCCGAACGTCAATGTGCGGGCCGGGTATTCACACTGAGACGCATTCTAGAATTCCGTCCCAGCTACCAACAACTGACGGCCGTCTGTTTTGTTGAACTTGTTGTCGCGTCTGAATGCGTCCATCATGAGTCCTTGTGGTGGGTAATGGCACTAGATGGTGTAACGCCAAAAATCCCCGCCAAGATCAAGGCCTATTACCGCTCCACCACTGTGCAAGCCCTGGTCCGCAACAATCTTCCCAACCGTTCGGTATTCGGTCTAGCGTTCGACAGGGTTGCATCCTGTCACCCATTCTGTTCAACTACGCTGTCGAATGGATTCTCAAGAGGGTCTTACACGATGGTGACGGCGTTGAGTTTGCACCCGGACATCGACTGACGGATCTTGACTGCGCCGATTATATTGCCTTACTTGCTTTAAGTTTTGGCAATCTGCATTCTATGGTGTCACGAGTGACTGAGGTCGCTAAATCGGTCGGTTTATCCATAACCGCTTGGAGGACCAAAGTGCTTTCAGGCGGCATCCCTGACCAGAAGGCACCCCTAGTGATTGATGACTGTTGACTTGAAGAAGTAGACAGTAGACATTCTCCACACGAGAGGCAGCAACTTATGAACAACTACGCTTTCTACATAAGTGCGTTCGCGATGGACTGACACCGAAGAGCCTCCTTTATAAAGCGCCAGTGAATACCGAATTGGGCCGAAGTGTCGTACAACGCTTCCGGAAGCAAATGATAAGAGTGCTGATCAACGACTGCCACTTACGCTTGCCCAAGTACCGAACTGTCATTGAAGAAAGAAATGCGGAGTGCGCAGCATTGCTCGGCGAATCAGTTACTGAGTGTCTAGACAGAACAATATCAACCGTAGCAAAAGCAAGACAGGAAGTGAAACGCATGAATCTAGACCAAAAAGTAGTCAAATTGAAACCCGAAATCAATGCCAACGAAGATGTGGTACACAAATTATCGTCGAAGCAGTTAAGCGAACCGGAACTCAGAGTGTTGAGCCACGAAGCCAACTTTAACACTGCTGATGCCACCCTAGCCGACTTCATTGTAGCACTTGAGGCCATGTTAGTACGAACTAACGCAACCAAAGGGACTAAACACACGGTGCGCCAGAAGGTTACGTCTCTCCTGATGACGAATAGGCATGCTAGTAATATGTCACTCGCAGAAATAGAGGCAATGAGGACATTAAAAATGGACAAAGATATTATAGTGCTACTGGCCGACAAAGGAAGAGCAGCAGTTATGATGAACCGCGTTGATTACAACGAGAAGGCACAAGCTCTCCTGGACGACCAACAGTCCTACAAGTCCGCACCCGCCTCGCAGGCCAAATCAATGATTGGCCAGCTGACTGGACTCTTAAGCCGACTCCGGCAAAACAATTTAATCTCGCCAGACGAATGGCGCCAGACAAAGCCAACCGACACGGCATTGGCCGGGTTCTATGGACTACCAAAAATCCACAAACCCAAAGTTCCTCTGCGGCCAATCGTTGCCCTGAAAGGCGGCCCTACATACAATTTAGCCAAATGGATGTCCCGAAAACTCAATTTTCTCCGAGAGGGCTCTGTGACGTCCGTCAATTCGGCCTCCCTATTTCTTGTCGACATTTGGGGAAAAACTATTCGACCCGACTAAATCATGGTATCCTTCAACGTGGTCTCACTTTTACGTCCATCCCACCAGATTTGGCGCGCGACGTGCTACGTAAACGCCTCGAAGAAAAGTACGACGAAACGACAGGGCCGCTAAAGATCCAGCACCTAATGCAGCTCTTTGCATTCTGCCAACGAACCTTTCTCATCTTCGATGGCACAACATACGAACAAATCAAAGGAACACCCATGGGTTCCCCAGTATCCAGCCTAGTTGCGGAATTGGTCCTGCAAGAGCTAGAAAAGGTTGCTATCAGCCACTACAAACCTGCGTTTTGGCGCCGATACGTGGACGATACATTCGTCATTATTGAAAAGGACAAGCTATCGGGTTTTCAAGCTTTGCTTAACAGCATATTCCCCGACATTCAGTCTACAAGAGAAGACGAGGGGGCGAGGAAGTACCCTTCCTTGACGTGCTCGTCACGCGCACACCCGACGGTAAACTCAGCACTACAGTGTACAGAAAGGCGACAAATACAACCCAGGACCTCAGCAACCACCCATTGGTGCACAAGCGGGCTGTGTGAGGGCGCTTTTCAACCGGGTAAAAACGCACAGTAGCGAACCCGAAGGAAGGATGCAAGAACTACGGCATTTCCGGGACCAATTAACAAAGAACGGCTACCCAAATAGTTTTATCAGTCGCTGCATACGCACGCACCCACGACGGACAAACGGAAGAGAGACACCAACAATTTGGTACTCCCTACCGTACATAAGGAATGTGTCCGAAGCTACAGCACGCATTGCGTCAGAGCTAGGCGTGGGCATCGCTCATCATCCGGCAGCTACCATGCGTAGCAGGATCATGAAAATGAGGGATCGGCTGGACGCGGGTGAACAGTAGGGCGTAGTCTATCGAATCCCGTGCCAAAACTGTCCTTGCCACTGCATAGACCAGACAGGACGACGTCTCAGCTCGCTATACTTGAGCACAAACGGGCCGTTCGAAGAGGCGACCCATTATCTCAATTCGCCACTCACACGCTGGGGGAAGGCCATGAGTTCGACTTCGCCAACACGCGGATATTGGCGCGAGCCGGCAACAAGACGGGACGAGAACTGTTGGAGGCGTGGGTGTCGGACACCAACTCTACTAATAGACACAGCGATTTGCCTGCGCGTTATCACGCACTCCGCCCCCGCAGCCAGGTTGCACAGCACACATCGCGAAGTACAAACGGCGTCACCACGCCGGGGGACCATCGTGGAACAGGCGGCACAAACCAGACGTAGCCCCCCTCCGCATGGAACGACGATATAAATGTTCACAATTTGCTGCACTCGAGTAGTCTCTGATGATGGACTCCAGTTCGAGTTCGAAAGCTCAGGCCAACAAAAATACTGTCCCACTGATCGTGCCTTCGTCTTCTTTAAAAGAGTTCTAAATACCTCGGGGAGTGGCTGCTGCTGAATGGCCAGAGTAAGGATGACATTGTCGCTCGAACTGATGCTGTCCGACGGGTTTTCTCAAGTCTTAGAAAAAGCCTGTGGATCTGACGCGACTTCTTCATCACCAGTAAGATTCGCGTGTAACGTGCATCTGTCCATTCTGCCCTTCGGCATGGCTGTGAATGCTGAGCTGTAAGCGTGGGGGACGAGGGAAAACTGGAGGTATTTGACCACTACTGCTTGAGAGCCGTCCTTCGAGTGAAGTACACCGACCTCGTCTCAAATGAGACAGTCCGCGCTCGCTGCGACAACATCGCAAGGATAACCCAGGCCATCCAAGAAAGACAACTGAGGTGGTTTAGGCATGTTCTTCATCGTTCACCTTAGAAGCTCAGTGTTACTACTCTCGATCCGGCACCGTTACCCTATTGGTGGCGTCGATGAGGGGGTCAACTCAAAACCTGTCTTGACACTGTTTGTCAGGACATGGAATTGGTTCACGGGCCTTAGGTAATCGGTCTCCGTCGTTGGCGACGAAAATGGCTTGAACTGTACAGATATGCTGTCGCGGATCAGTACGCGCGGAGAGATACAGTTTGAGATATCATTGAGGCCGGCTAGATCAGGCATGATCGCAGCCGTGCAAAAATAACCGTGAGTTGATAGAACAAAATGATTGGCAAACGCTAAAAATCACGGACAACATAATACGCAATGCCCCGCCTTGGTTGCAAGAACAGTTTTACCATGAACGCAGTGGTTGACTACCCAGTTGAAATTTTTTCAAAGTTTGACAAATGCCCAAGGAAACTCTGAAACATCTGATGGACACTTGCCGTTAGAGATTGAAGGCTCAAAACGGATCCATGACCGTTTACTGAACAAAACAGAAGAGACTGGTCAACCACCGGCGTTTCTAACTACCGAGAAAGAGAACAAGGAAGCCCCGGACCAGTGGGGTTTAATACATCACACCGATTCCAAGAGCCTGGTGCACTGATTCCTATGTTTCCTTCCCCAGATGACTTATGTTAAACCTAACGAGGCCTTGCACATAGTCGTGGAAAGTGATTTGTTTGGAGAGGAAGGTTAGTTACCCGACGAGCTGACGAAATAGAAAACTGACTTTTCAAGGCCGATGTGAGCTTCGTCGTTGCTAACCTGACCGAAGTGACCGACTCATGTGGTGCTGATCAGACACCGGTGACAGAAGGTAAGTTGTCAGCTGGAAGACCGAGTGGCTAAGCATTGCAAGGTATGTGAGCCAATCAGACCCTACCAACCACTTCGTCATACAAATGGATGAAAGAAATGGAACTTCCTACGCAACAAAGCTGTCTTCCTGATAATGAACCTCAACGGCTGTTAAACGAAGGCACGGTTCACTCAAAGAACGACGGTATCACGTTAACAAAAAACTCCAACTATTCTATGCATCTAATTAGTCAATACACTTTCTTGGGGGCAAGCGTTTCTACCTAGCTAGACGGAGCCTACGTGTTATTAGAGATATAAGCGAAAATATGATGGTGATAGCACCCTTGGCGGACTATCACGTATGGTGCTCTACGTCCTTGGTAACCTTTAAAGGTAGTGAACTGATATATATTTGAGGACATACAGTTCTGAAGAACCCTGCAAAAATTCCAGCGCCGTGGTTTCACATAGCTTCTATCCCAAAAAATAATAAAACCGTGCTCCACCTACAATAATGTAACTCTCATTAGCTTAAAGACTTTACCCACGAAAAGCAGACAAGATGTGACTTCGAAAAACGGGAATAAAATTCTACACTTAAGATAAAGCATTTATTAAGAATAACTAAGCAGAAAAAGTACGTTTTCAAACAAATATTGCACGATGTCGGGCACAAACCCAATTGGCAAAACGCAGTGAAATGCAGTAAGTTTTGAGACAGCATTTAAGACCGCGAGGGTGATTTCTTGGCTCTCCTATTTGGCTTTGTTTCCGAATGGGACCTCGTGGATTTTGAAGCATTTGTCTGTGTCTTTACTGTTTCCATAGGACGCCGGGGGAAAAGGTACTGAAGTAGATATTTTTCGTGCACCTGTTTTAGTACAATAACACAGACCAAAATCATAAAAAAGTTAGTGATATAGATAAACAGGAGCTGTATTCCACGATCACTGAACGCATTAACTACTGCGTTCTCGAACCAGTTTGATCTCAGCCCCAGCGCACACACAAAGGAAGCAAAGGTAAAAAAGAAACCTCCTGAGAGCACATGCAGGAGACGCGAGCCAGCAGGCCGAATAAAACGCCGCAATAAGGAAAGTGAATGTAGAGCACCGCATGTTGCTTGTACAAAGCCCCAAATCAGAAACACCAGACCCAAAAGTCCATGCCACGTTGCAAAGTGCGGCTTGCCATTCACAGTCTTCACGTAAACAGCGATCAGGAATCCGCACGTAATTAAGAGTAGACCGACAGCCTCAAGGCACCAGTGGAACGCGAACTACAAAAAAAACACCGAATACTCGGAAAGAGGTAAAATCAAAAAGGAGTGTCAGTAAACTTTGCGAAAAATGGATTAAGCACAGGAAAAGTTCCAGCATATGACGGCCAAGCACATTCTATCTTAAAAAAGAACGCACCTTTTTCTTCGGATGAGAAGAAGGTAGCAGTGAGCTGTCCGAGTTATATATAATAACCCCTTGGAGGATGGGAACGAAAACTCCAAAGGTCATGAGGATTGGATGCCAGTGAAAGATGACTGTTGGATTCCATGACACATATACGACACTAAGGACAACAAGAAGGCCTAATGTGTGCACTGCCATGGAAAGGGTAGATCACGGGTGGCCTGTTAGTAGCTGATCAAAGCAAATCACCGAGAAACTCAAAAATAGTCGTTTGCGCTGGCGTGGTAGCGGGTGAAATCTTGTAGGGTCGCCGGTGTCGACGCGCTCCCGATTGGTCACCGATGCCTATCCGGTGATTAGTTGGTTTTGTCCGTGGGCATTCTGTGAATATTTCTGACTTCCTTTTCCAGAGCTGGCTATTACAATTACAAACCGGCTAATTCACACGAATTTCCAACTCCGTTAGCGTAGAATTATTGTGAGAGTTGAGTTTGGGATTAAGTCACGGATTAGGGCTAGGGTTTGACGGAGTTTGGTTCATGATAGAGTGTACTGCTGGGGTTAGTCATACGGTTTGGTTAGAGTTAGGGATATGGTCGGGGTTAGAGTTGGGGTTAGGGTTATGATTGGGGTTAGAGTTAGGAAATAGGGATTTTGGCTACGGTCGGCGTTAAGATTGGTGTAAGGGTCAGTATTTAGGCTCAGGATTAGGGTTTGGTCATAGGGTTAGGTTGACGTTAGATTAAGTGTCGGGATTATGTTTGGGGTCAGGGTTAGGTCTGGGTTTGTGGTTAGGTTAATGGTTTAGGTTTATTGTTAGGGCCTGGTGGATGCGAGGTGCATGATTAAGCTTACTGCTTGAATTAGTCCTATGATTTGTTTAATGACTTGAGGTAAGTTTATGGTTGGGCAAGTATTAGAATATTGATCAATTGCTCGGACGAGGAGGACCGCCGTGATTAATGTATTGTGATTTCCATATTTATACGAACGGTTTACCCTTTCTTTCTGTAATCCTTTTCATTTATTTCCATATCGTGCGTATTAGATTTTCCTTTGCCTCTGTATTTTACATTACTCTCCTAATCGTTTTTGCTGTTGCGGTTGCGAATATTTCCTCCTTTGTTAGCTTGGGTTCTAGCAAGCAAGCGGGTATAACACCGTTCTAAATGAGAAGATCTCTTCGAAGAGGAGAGAAGTTTATTAGGGAACGGAAGTACCGGGAGAGTGAAAGGAGCGAGACACAAAGGTACTCAAGGGGAGGAAAAGTCGAACACCAGCAGGCAGCCAGAGGATCCAACCGCACACGCCACGGGGAAACCGGAAGTGAAGTTGTTGTCAAATCAGGCGTCCTCTTCCGTGGCCTCGGCCGGGATGGCTTTCTCGATTTCTACAATAAGTTAGGATAAAAGCATTGAAAGATAACTATGATAAGGCAATAGTCATGGTGAATTTTCCATCACAGTGTAACCGCATAGGCAGTTTTGGCAATCCAACCCCGGCCTCACATCCTAGTCTGCGCAACCAACAACACAAAGGGAAGTGGATTACACAATAGATTACAACGAACGCCTGTCAATTAAAATTAATCTTAGTAAGAAAGGAATGGGCCTCATATGCGTGTGAAATCACATTACTGGTCGACGACGGGGGCAGCAAAGGCGCATCATTGTAGTATCTAATTCTGAACCGTTGTCACTTGCCGTTGGCCCATCAGTAGTCATCATAGCATAACCACCTACATATGTGTCCTTACCTCACAGTTAAACAATCGCTTGATTATCATGCTTTATTTTATTATTTTAACATTTTGTAAAAGTGCACAATTACTGTTGCAAGCGGTTGGCTTTCCGACATCTCCATCATTTTATAAGCGTAGGTCGTGATTTGTGTCCCCGTTGATGGGCCCGCAGGTGCTCACAAGGTAAGCAAAACTCTGGGTTTATGTGCAGTAATGTGCCTAAAAATACTTCTAATGTACATCATCGTGGAATCACGTTAACAAGGACAGTTTGTGTACATGTTCATAGACAGGCGTTTCGGCAAACACACATCCCACTGTATGTTCATCAGATCTCACATTGTACAGGCAGTTAATTGTCTTTATTGTGCTCTGCTGCGCTAAGTATTTGATGGCATTCCCGGATCACAGAGGGATCGAAATTGTCGTTTATACAGAACCTTAAGAATCCCAGGAAGACGGGCATAGCGGACATCACCGAGAATTGAGTGAACAGTTAGCTATTTTCGCCACGCTACTTGCGTAGTTTCCGTTCAACCCTCTAACAGACACATGCTTGAATGGAATTGCGAACTATCCGAAGAAAAATAGCTGGCCGAAGCGGTCCACTTCGCCAAAATCCGCTTGTTAAATGACATGGAACGTTTTCTCGGACAACCGAAAAATCCAGCACCATTATACAATCCTTTCCTCCACCATCGGCTAACAGTGCCTCAAACACTCCAACTCAAAACGTAGCGTGTTCCCAACTGTCCCCAGCCCTCATATCGAGGCAGTTAGGCCGAATATGCCGATTTTCCCGCCGTTTAATAGAATTCTTGCTCCAATGGAAGCAATGCGTCCCCCACCCCATAACTTGTTTCCTCCACGACGGGTTTACCAATGTATTTCTCATCCTAATGTCCATACTGGATCAGTTAACTCATCCGGTCCTCACTTCTGTTCCGGCTGCAATGTGTTGCAGTATCTGGTCCGTGGATTTCCAGCTGAAAATAAGTTAGCTAACAATGGTGACCAGTTTACCTGCCCGTCATTCCCTCCCCCAAGTCCTACCCCTTTTTTATCCACGTCAGAATTTTTTGATGCCACAAAATATTTTGCAGAACCGGATGGTTACATCCGGAGCGTTTGCTCCGTGGGCAGCCCAGAACTGGACGATGTAAGCCACCTCCCTCAGAAACAAAAAGCCTTTCCCGGCAAACTTTTGTTTTAAATGCCAGATCCTTGCTTAATAAGATGTCTTTGCTTCAGACTTTGGCGTTCTTCCATTGTCCAGATATTGTTTTAGTAACTGATTGTTTTTCGTAACTGAGGCGTCCGATTCCGTAGCTGACTCCGAACTCTCGCTTCTAGGCTATAATTGCGTTCGAAATTATCGCCAATACAGCCGTGGTGGGGTCAGCTGCGTCTACGTTAAGCAAAAACTTACATTTTTGACGCTAGACATCCCGCATTTTTCCGCTGTAGAAGGCAGCTGCTGGCTCCAGGTTGCCCTAAAAAATAAGTTCTCTTTACTCGTTGGCTGCGCCTATCGCTCTCCCAACGCTAATGGCAATTTTGATCGTTTACTCTCACAGGCATTTCATGCTGCGGCCGACTCAAGCTTTAAGTACCCATTGGTTGCGGGTGACTTTAATCTCCCCGAAGTCCGCTAGTCTCCGCCTTCGGGCCCCAGAAGGTTCGAAGACTTTCTTGAGGCTGTGGATGTTTGGATGTGGACTCAGGTTGTCGATTTTCCCACCCGAGGATCAAGCACACTTGACCTGATTTTTTGTAGAGACTGCATACCTTCGTCTTTTTCATCTCTTGGCCCGCTCGGGGGCTCACACCAAGACATAGTTGTTTAAAAATTGGAATTCGAGGCTGACAAAACGTTGTCCGCAAAGTACACGTTTTTCCGTGATTTCCGATAAACTCGCTGAACCGAATTATTAACACACCTTAATTTCCACGACTGGACTGGTTTCTTCCTTAGTTCGGATGTAAATTTTTGCACTGCAAATCTGTACGAAATTTTGGATCCGCTTATTTCTCGTTGTGTCCCCCGTAAGAAAATTATTAATGTTGGGGATGAGGTTTTCCTACCCTTATCCTTTCGTCGCAGATTGAGCAGACTTTATCGTCGATTCCATCTTCAGAACGACGTTTCTGTCCTGTCCTTGATTTGTGATATTTTTGAGCGGGCTAAGAGATTGTCTGAAGAAAAACAGCTAGCCGAAGATGTCCAGTTTACCGAAAACCATTCGTCAAATATCACGTAACTTTTCTCTAGAAAAATACGAACTCACCGAAAGACGCAGGATCCCATCCTCCGAGACGCTCTCGGAAATCCCATAGTTGATGCCCAGTTAACCGCGGATAGCTTCAATGATTTCCTGTCCAAAACGTTTATTGAAGACTCGACCACTCCGCTTCCGACCATCCAGCCATTGACCGGGGCAGTTCGAGAAACTACAACTTTCACTCTGTGGGGGGTGACTGTTGCGATTAGGCGTTTTCGTCAATCTTATAGTCCAGGCCCTGATGGTGTCCCTGTAAGCATTTTAAAAGCCGATGCAAACACGATCTTTCCATCCCTCTTATGCAAGAAATTTGATCTCGCTCTTGAAAGTGAAACTTATCCTACCTTGTGGAAGGAATCACACATTTTGCCCATTCCTAAGCACGGCAAATCTACATCATTTGATGACTTTCGGCCAATAAACACCCTCCCTGCAGTTTTGAAGATGTTAGAGACATTGATCAAGGATAAGATGATGTGTCACTTAACAGCGAACAAATTACTGAGTGTTGCTCAGCATGGATTCCTCAAAGCTCGATCTTGTGACACCTGTCAACTCTCTTTCTTTGACTATGTTCTCCAATCTAGGGACCATGGTTTTGCTCTTTACACAGTGTATCTCGATTTCACTAAGGCTTTTGATCGTGTTGACCATGTTCTTCTCCTCTTGAAATTGTCCTCTTTCGGAATAGGTGGCAAACTTTTGAATTTTATATCCTCTTATTTGGGCACTCGCGCACAACGAGTTAAGATTTCCAATACCATCTCCAAGCCCAAACGTGTGAGGAGTGGAGTCATTCAGGGTAGTGTACTCGGCCCGCTTTTATTTTGCCTTTTCGTTAATGATGTACCCGATTTATTTCAGAATGGTAAGCCTTTCATGTATGCCGACGATCTTAAAGTTGCATATCGATGTAAGCCGGCAGATCGTGACATCGTACTTGAGCTCCTAAAGAGCGATCTACAGGCTTTCGCCCAGTGGTGCCGCACATGGCGCCTTTCTCTTTCTTGGCATAAGTGGTCAGTCATGATGGTTGACGACGACCGTCAACCTCAACTAATAATTGAAGGTCACGCCATAAATGTGCCTGGGGTTATTTAGGATCTGGGCGTATCATACTCCAAAAGTCTCAATCTTTCGGAGCACTGTGCCTTGATAGTCTCCAAAGCACGTAGAACGACCGGGTTTACCCACCGAAACTTTAAAACTAGGGATATTAGAATGCGCCTTTACAACATGTACGTTAGACCTGGTCTGGAATACTGTTCGTTTTCATTTAGCCTCATGCGTGCTACTGAGCGGAAGAAAATAGAATCCGTTCAACACTTTTTTACCAAGAGAATTTTAACCCCGGAACACCGACATTTGTCTTACCAAGAACGTTGCCGACTTACAGGCCTCGATCCTTTATGATTCCGTAGATTACAAAAGGGACTATTTTTGCTATTTAAACTCTTATATAATCACACATTTAACCCGCTCACCTCTCTAAGACATCATATCCACCCACGACGGAACAGTCACCGTGAGGTCTTTTTATTTCTGCCTCTGGCACGCACTGTTAAATATCGTCGGTTCTTTTCTGTAAATGCAATTGCTATTTGGAATAAATTACGCAGGAGTGTGAAAACTCTGCAAAATTATCCTTTATTTAGAGAACTATTACTCGATTTTTGCATTCAGAAAAGCTCCCACAAATTTTGGGTAGGAAACCTCAGATCGACTGTACCGTAGCGATGGCGTTTGTGGTGTCTGACCACTATGGCCGGTTCCGCCAGGGACAATTTCTTTGGCTAACAGCGACAGCTGTTCTTCGGCGTTTCTGTTTGGACTAGCCCCAACTTCATGTAAGAAATTGGCGACAGATATTATCCGATACCTTGCAGCCCCCCATTCTTGACGGTCATAAGTTTGTCGCCAGCAGTTATTTTTCTCCTGAAACCTCCAAACCATAAAAACCATCAAATGTATTTTTATTTCTTTCCCACAGGACTCTTTTTTCAATGATGGCCGGATTTGAGTTTAACTCTTCCCTGACAATGCCTGTAAAATGGCATTAAATAAAAGCAATTTTACTATCTCTCGGGAAAAAACTGTTGGTTGTATCCTGCCCTCTTTTGCTGGCGGTAGATTTAGTCTCAGACTATGGGACTGCCTTTATGGCTGTATCCAGATCAGTTAATAAGTTGCTCGCGTCCGTGATATATGCTGTAACGTCTTTATTTGGCTGCCTCACCGGACTTTTTGCATTATAGCTTGATGCACATGTGAAGGGCGAGCTGCTAGCGCACATTGTTAGCGCACGTAAGTCCATAAGATTACTTCCTACAGGTTTTTTTCGGGTTTGTCGATCTTTGTTTTTTGTTGGTGCAGACGGACTCTGCATTATCCAGCTTTGTCAAATTTATGGAAATGCGAGCGCCAGTTTCATATCTGGCTGTCGTATTTTTATTGCTGTCCATTTCGGTTGAGTCCGAAGACTTGTCTAGTGACTTCGTGCGTTGCCTCTTGTTTCGCTGAAAGCGAAGTCTATAACCCTTTACCGGTCTCTTGAGGTTCGTGTGGTCCGGCTCATTGATGTTTTCCATGTCCTTTGTATTGTGTTCAGGGGGTTTAATTTTGTTATACTCAAGAAGTGACGCTATTATTTCAGTGAGGAGGTCGACGTCTACATCTAGTTTCGAAACTCTGATGGTGAGTTCTCGACATCCATCACAGCGTGTCCACATGTAGGTATCTAGTTTGTTTGTGGCTGACATCGGCAGTGAACTGCGTTCTTCAGGGTTGGTGGTCGGTGGCCCATCACGTCCAGCTGAGAACCAGTTGAGTATTTTCGGCAAATTTTTATCACAGGAAATAAAAAAACGGTTTACAATTAAGTGATAGGTCGCCTTTTCCTGAGTATATATTATTTTCGTGGGCATCGCACCATGCGGACGTCGCCGGGCGGCTAAGGGCGTCAGTTCTTGCACAAGTGGTCCGTGGTTCGAATCCCGAGTGTGGCGAACTTTTGACACATATAGTAGGGTCATGGACATTTGTATTCCCATGCTAGAAAGATATCTTTGAGATTGTATTAATTTATATTGGGCGTCTTCAATTGCTAATTGGCTACTTTACTGAGCACAAAGTAAATCTATTTTCTAAACGGAATTCAGTATAAAACGTCAATTGGAAGCAAAGAACGACTAAGTCTTCACAGACGGGTTCTAAGGCGTCTTCGCTTTCTGCCGGTTATCGAGCACTTCGTCGACAGAAGATTAACTTCGGAAGCACGATGGAGTTGGTATTCGTAGGAATCTGAACTAAACCGTGTTAGCTGCTTTCTTAAACTCCAGATTGTGGTTTCCAGAGAGCCTCAGTGACGGATGAAGATATCGCCAGTAATGGGATACGTGAAAGCGGAGGTTACTTGCACTTTTAAAATGATTTCTAATAATAATTGTTATAATAATATTTTTATTTAATACCAGTTTACAGGCATTGTCAGTGAAGCGTTAAACAAAAATCCGGCCAGCAGTGAAAAAAGCTCATGTAGGAAAGGAATAAAAATATATTTGATGGTTTTTATGGTTTGGAGTGTTCAGGAGCAAAAAAACTGCTGGCGACAAACGTTTGACCGTCAAGAAGGGAGGGGCTGCATGGTGTCGGATAATATCTGTCGCCAATTTCTTTCCTGCAGTTGAGGTTAGTCCAAACGAATTAAAATTTGCCGGAAATACTCAACTGGTTCTCAGCTGGACGTGATGGGCCACCGGCCACCAACCCTGAAGAACGCAGTTCACTGCCGATGTCAGCCACAAACAAACTAGATACCTACATGTGGACACGATGTGATGGATGTCGAGAACTCACCATCAGAGTTTCGAAACTAGATGTAGACGTCGACCTCCTCACTGAAATAATAGCGTCACTTCTTGAGTATAACAAAATTAAACCCCCTGAACACAATACAAAGGACATGGAAAACATCAATGAGCCGGACCACACGAACCTCAAGAAACCGCGCGCTTCGAATTTGGTTTCAAATTTTCGTCCTCTCTCGGAATTTAGTTTCTTCGAGAATTCGACTTACTGTACGCTCTTAGAGCGTAACTTAAGACGGAATTAAGACCCAAACTCGACTCATCAATATCTTCCTCCCAACTAGTCTTCTGCAGCACATTCCCAGTACTCCGATTTCGGCCGTGCTCGTTTCTACAACTTGCAAGCCCAGACAGACGGATTATCTGCAGAACAACACACCCGAGGCTTCTACAAAGGCTGAGTCTCTTTTCCACTATTAGTCATTGTTTCATCATCGTCTCAAAGTATTTGTCTAAATTTCTGCCCCCGGAAGCTTCTCGATCATACCATATGAAGTTACTTTCTACCGAAAGATCGTCATAAAAGCCTTTTCTTCATACTTAAACCTGCGCTCTTTGTGTATATAGAAAAGTTATCCAGAATTTTGGAGTCCGCACCTGTGTTTCAAAGTAACGCGCACTTGGGGTTCGAACCGGGGACCTAAAGAGTTAGAGCCAGCTCCGCTAACCCCTGCACTATCGCCGCACGACCGGAGCACACAGCTAAAAGCTTTGTTTATTTGTCACCACAGGATCTCGTAGGATATTCTTGTAATGGTTGTCAAACGATAGCCTACAAGATGCATCAACTAGAGGAAGAAGTAAGAAATCTGAAGGAACTTATACACAAAACTGTTTCTTCAGAGGCCCGCCCGGGGTTATCTACGCAGAGGTTAACTCAGAGTAGAGCGAGAGCCATCCAGTGTAAAGAATCCCCAGAAAGCAGTCATGTGGTGAATAAGACAACTGCTGTTAGTGGGCAAATAGTGGCATCCGATGAAAAAAAGAATAAGAAGAAGACTACACCTAACACCACGGGGAAAAGTCGCTAGAATACGAAAGAAAGCATATCGGTCTTGTGCGAAAAGCAGTTGAAAAACGAAACGACCGTAAATGTGCCAGCGGAAGTGGAAGGAAAGGAGCAGTTGACGCCCAACCGTAGACATCCCCATACAATGTGCTCATTTCCGGAGCCGAACTTAGAGGGCTTATCAATTAGCGCAATGACATATGGTTATGGACCCACGGTGGAATTAGCTGCCACCGCGAATTCCCATGTCAACAGAGTTGAGAACCGAGCCGAGGAAGCCTCTAATTCATGGGGGTCAAGCTCTCTTCAGAGCCCTCTGATGGGAGGCAGTGCCGATCAACCCCATCGTGCAGCTATTCAAGATACCTCAACAAGATCCGCGGACGAAATTAACGGGGACATAAATACCAGTATGACAGCCCCTTCCTTTTCGCCAGTCCACTTAGACGAGGGCAAAGGACCGGTCAACGACGTCCAAACCGCAGAACACAGAGGAATGCTTAACAAGGATCACTGCATCATAATTCAGGGCCTGCCAGAGTCCACCGCCAGTGCCCCCAGGGAACGAGTCGCTGCTGACTTAGAGCAATTCCAGAAACTCCTAAATGAAATGCTGCAACCAACAGAAGATGTCACAGTCGTAAAGGCGTTTCGTCTTGGTAGCCGTACAACCGCCGCTCCACAGACACGACCAAGACCCCTGAAACATGTCCTAGGTAGCAATGAGCAGGCGAAACTAATCCTTTCCAGACGTTTTCGACTGAAAAATTCCCATAAAGGAGTGTTTTTTCAGCCGGACTACTCACTTGCCGAGAGAATGAAACGCCGCGAACTTGTCCTAGAATTGAGAACATGACAAACCAACGGAGAAAAAGGCTTGACAATCTACAACGACCGGATAGTCAAACGACATTCCGCCCCCCTCTGGATCAAGCCGATCCGAATGACCGCACAGGTAGCACGGTAGCTTGTGTCGGGGTTGATAAAAAATTACGCATGAACTCGAAACTCATATTCATGTATACCAACGCGCAAAGTGTACTTTCTAAACTGGATGAACTTCGTATCCTTACCCATGACCTCCACACAGACGTTATCTCAATAACAGAAACAGAACAGATTGATGATAGACAACTCATGCTCCTTGGATTTCAACTGTTCCGCAGAGACAGACAAAACAGGAGCGGTGGAGGCATAGTAACATTTGTTAAAAATGGCTTATACGTTTCAGAAAAACTGCTCAATTAACTTGCAGTACGGAAGCGTTGTGGCTGACCATAAGGGCACCGGGCTCTCAAAGCCTCGATATCTTGACAGTATATCGCCCCCCGAGAAATGACCCTGAAGCTGATGCCCAACTGCTGGAGGAGCTTAGGCTATTTTCAATGCGACCGGCTACTCTCATCGTCGGTGATTTTAATGCACCTCACATAAACTGGAGCTCGGCCTCAGCCGACTGCTCTGAAGCAGCATTCGACCAGCAGTTAGTGCGTACCTCCGACAGTCTGCTTCTAACCCAACACGTAATGTTTCCAACGAGAGTTCGAGAGGGCCAGCAAATGAATTGCCTTGATCTGGTGTTCACCAAGTCCTCTGACAATATCGACGTTGTTAATTGCCTCCCCCCGTTGGGTCAGAGTGACCATGTAGTTCTCATGTGGGAATACACCTTATTCTCCCTGCCTGCACAACCGCTCGATTCCCGACCCAATATCTGGCGCGGAGATTTCGAACAGATGAGAAGGGATCTAAGTCCTATCGACTGGGCATCCACTCTATCCGGCGATGTCGAAGAGGTTTGGTGTCAGTTCAAAGAGATAGTCCACAACCTCATCTCCAACCATTGCCCAGTCATGCACAGAAGACTAACAAATAGACCCCGCTGGCTGACTCCGTCCTTAAAGAAGGAGGTTAACAAGAAGAGGAAGCTGTGGAAAAGATCCCTGACTGACCGGACGCCAAAATCCCTAAGCAGTTATAAGTCTCAGAGAAATCGGGTCAAAGTTCTCATCGCTAGAGATCGGAAAGCCTTTGAAAAGGATCTTCTCAACCGTGCCAGGGTTAATCCCAAAGTCCTCTACAGCTACATAAGACAGAGCACGCGGAACAAAGACCCCATCCCACTGCTGCGAACAGCCGAGGGAATGGAAATCTCCGATGACAAGGATAAGGCTGAACACCTCTCTCAGTTTTTCCGGTCCGTCGTGACAAGTGAACCTGATTTTCTCTCCCCCATGTGTGAAGACGAAGAAAAGCCTACCCTTGAAGCCGTATTCTTCACCGAAGCAACTGTTCGGAACGAGTTACTTAATCTGAAAGAATCGAACTCCCCAGGCCCTGATGCAATCCCCGCCAAGCTGCTGAAGGAGCTAGCTCCCAAAATGTCCAAGCCATAAGCCCTGATCTTCCAAACATTATTTCTTACTGGATGCCTACCCTCTGACTGGAAGTCCGCTACCATCACTCCGCTTTTTAAGAGCGGAAGTCGTGAGTCTGCGAATAACTACAGGCCAGTGAGCCTTACCTCCATCTGTTGCAAAATCATGGAGAAGATCATTAAGAAGGCCTTGATGCAGTTCCTCGAGCAGCACCACCTCCTCTCTGATGCACAACACGACTTTCGAAGTGGTAGGTCCTGCCTCATGAATCTGCTCTTTACGCTCGAACGCTGGACCAGAGCACGCGATGAAGGTAGTGTGGTGCACGCCATCTACATCGATTTCAAAAAGGCCTTCGACAGCGTTCCCCACCAACGTCTCTTGCACAAACTGCGCAACGCTGGAATTCGTGGACGCCTTCTTGTATGAATCCAGAGCTTTTTGGCTGGACGGTCCCAAAGAGTGTAGGTCGGGCGTCAACAGTCCTCAGAGGTAAGCGTGGTGAGTGGCGTCCCACAGGGCTCAGTCCTAGGTCCCACGTTATTCCTCGTTTTCATAAATGACTGCGTCAGGGACTTAGACTGTGATACCATCCTGTTTGCCGACGACATTAAATTGTGGAAAGTTATTCACAATGCGGCAGACGCAGACCACCTGCAATCAAACCTGAACAGGCTCGAGGACTGGTCGAAGCGCTGGCTTATGCCCTTCAATAAAAGCAAGTGCAACTTTCTTCAACTAGGCAGCTTCAGAACCTCCAGCCCCAGGACTTACTTTCTAGAGGGCACACCACTGCAACAGGTTGACAGTCAGAAGGACTTGGGTGTTTGGATTACATCTTCACTCAAACCAACACTGCACTGCGCGAAGGCGGCTAAATCGGCTATGGCTACACTGCAACTCATTAAGCGAGCATTTATAGGATTAGATCCAGACAGCTTTTCAAAAATATTTGGCACCTACGTGAGGCCTCATCTAGAATACGCCATGCAGGCGTGGAGACCTTGGACTGCCAAGGACTCTACCGTTTTGGAGAAGATCCAGAGACGAGCGACCAAAATGATAAAAGGTCTGGGAGCGCTGTCTTACGAATCTCGACTGTCAACTCTCAACCTGTTTCCACTTTCCTGCAGGCAATTACGTGGTGACCTTATACTTGCATTTCGCATTATCAACGGCCTAGACTGTTGTTTAGATCCCACTGGTTATTTCACACAAGCTTACACGCCCAATTTGCGCGGTCATCCCCTAAAACTACGCGCCGGGAAAGCAAGAATCAATGGGAGAAAGTTCTTTTTCAGTCACATAGTGGTTGCAGCGTGAAATGCCCTACCCACCGAAGTTGCAACCTCCTCCTGTGTGAATTCCTTTAAGTTTAGACTTGACGCGCATCAAGCCTCCCAGTTACCAGCCGTGCATCCACTCACATAACCGGCACCAACTTAAACTTGTTTATACTACTTGTAACTTGTTAGTAACCGTTATTAATTACTCTTTTTGACTAACTGTCAGCGATTATGTACAAAACCCCTTTTTCTCCTTCGCACTATCAATGTTTTCTCCGCCGACTTGTAACCAATAGGGAGTTTAAAGGCGCTCGCCTATATTTCCCTTAATAAACTGAAAATGAAACCGGTCAAAGGTTATAGACGTCGCTTTCAGCGAAACAAGAGGCAACGCACGAAGTCACTAGACAAGTCTTCGAACTCAACCGAAATGGACAGCAATAAAAATACGACAGCCAGATATGAAACTGGCGCTCGCATTTCCATAAATTTGACAAAGCTGGATCATGCAGAGTCCGTCTGCACCAACAAAAAACAAAGATCGACAAACCCGAAAAAACCTGTAGAAAGTAATCGTATGGACTTACGTGCGCAAACAATGAGCGCTAGCAGCTCGCCCTTCACATGTGCACCAAGCTATAATGCAAAAAGTCCGGTGAGGCAGCCAAATAAAGACGTTACAGCATATATCACGGACGCGAGCAACTTATTAACTGATCTGGATACAGCCATAAAGGCAGTCCCATAGTCTGAGACTAAATCTACCGCCAGCAAAAGAGGGCAGGATACAACCCCCATTTTTCTCCCCGAGAGATCACGCTGTGTGGTAGTGCAAGGAGTTCCTGAATCACCTGGTCACACCCCGAAAGCGAGGGTGTAACATGATCCGTTGACATTCCAAAAATTACTCAATGACACGCAAGAACCCGATAAGGTAGTCAAAATCCAAAAGGTCTTCTATTTGGGACCTTTAGTTAAAAGCAACCCAGACAAAGTGTGGCCGACACCACTAAAAGTCGTATAGGGAAACGAACAGCAAGCAAATCTCATCTTGTCACGAAAGCCCAGGCTTCGCAACAACCATCGTGGAGTGTTTTTTTCAGCCGGAATATCACCCAATCGAACGAATAAAAATAAGGGCGCTGGTAGCGGAACTGAGAAAACGTCAGAGCGAGGGCGAAGTGAATCTGAAAATAGCAAACAAAAAAATTGTGAAAATAGAGCGTTCCTTTTTGTGGAATCATCCGGTGACATTGACGTTTAAAGCACCGGCGCTCGGTCCCGACAAACTTCAGTAAATTCAAAATCGACTAGTGGACTTGGTACGCCAGGCGAAATATGCAATAGTAGCTATCACTCAGAAGCACTAGCAAACAATTTCCAGAGATCTAAACAACCGAATAATATAAAAATGATGTACACAACTATGCAGAGTTTATTCAACAAATTGGATGAAATAAAACTCACTGTGGCCCATTTCAAACCTGACTTGTTTGCTTTAACAGAAACATGGTTAAATGCGCAGATAGAAGACTCGGAAGTTATGCTTGATGGTTTCCAGATTCGCCGAATGGACCGAAACGAACGAAAGGGTGGGGGGATTGCGATATTTATACGAAATGACATCGACTACGTCAGGGTTGAGTCTTCCCATTTTCGGCACATTGATTGTGAAATACTCAATTTTTGCTTGAAGGTGCCAAACCGTCCAAGCCTCCATATGGCCCTGGTTTACAGACCGCCAAGCCAGCGGACGGATGCGGACGATGCACTTATCACCGAAATAAAAGAAATTTGTCAAAGCAAACACATAATGCTTCTTGGTGACTTCAACTGTCCAGACATAGAGTGGGATTTGATGCATTGCACGCGATCAGAAAACTCCTTCGAACAGAAATTTATGCAATTGATCGTAAATGAATTCCTTACCCAACATGTTAAAGTGGACACTCGATTAAGAGTTGGACAGCAGTCCAGTTGTTTGGACCTCATTATCACTAGGGATGATATTTGCATTCTCGGATTTGAATCGCACACGCCCCTTGGCCGAAGTGACCACTGCGTTCTTGGTTGGGAGTATAGTCATTTTTCTGTTCCCGAAATTCGAGGTGCTGAGGAAAGAAATGTATGGAAAGGGAAATATACCCGAATGAAAAACCTGTTACAGAAAGTGAACTGGAATACAGCACAAGGACCTGACGCAGAAAGCGATTGGCTCTTCTTCAAGAACATAATGCAAAACTTGGTAGAGAACTGTTGCCCACTGAAGAGGAAGCTGCGCACTTCCCGACCACAGTGAGTGACGTCAGAAATAAAGAAGAACTTTAAATTGAAAAGGAGACTTTGGAAAAATTATGCCAGATGTCAGCAACCAGAGCATTTCGCTGACTTCATAAAACAGTGGAATGTATGTCGGAATCTGTTGAGGAGGGAACGGGCACAATTTGAGTTAAAACTTCTAAAAATATCCCGCAAAATTCAAAAAATTCTTTGGATACGTGAATAAGGCAAAACGCAACCGGGCTGCATTCCCTGCCTAAAAGATCGCCAGGGAAATACGTTGTCCGACAACTCAGATAAGACAAATCTATTGTCCGACTTCTTCACGTCTGTGTATACCGAGGAGCCGGCCTTTGATGAAGGAGTTTACCCCCAATTGTCAAATCGAACAATTCAATTATCACGGTGGACTTTACAACAGACACGGTAAGGACAACTTTCAGTCAACTACAGCCCACTAAATCCCCTGGTCCGGACGGCGTGTTCGCAAAAGTCCTGAATGAACTCCAAGACCAACTGGCCTCTCTGTTATCCAGGATCTTCAGAACTTCGACGGAGACCGGGGCTTTGCCTACCGACTGGAAGAAAGCAAATATAAGCCTAATATATAAAGGTGGCGAGAGAACAGCCCCAAATAATTTCAGACCAGTGAGTCTCACAAGCATCTGTTGCAAGTTGATGGAAAAAGTTATAAAAACGGAGCTGATGCGACACCACGAAGAAAACAACTTGCTCAGTTTGCATCAGCCTGTCTCACTAACCTGCTAGTATCCATGAAGACCTGGAAGACATCAATCGACATGGGCATATCAGTCGATGCCGTGTACTTTGACTTCAAAAAGGCTTTTATGTATGTATGTATATTGAAGGGTTACAGGCAGAGCCCTTGATGACCCTATTTATGTACAGTGCTTTCGCAGATTCATACTCAAAAATAAAATAAAATTACAGGCATTGAAAATGTGGCTGGGTCACAGTTCAATCGTAATCATAAGGTAGTGCATGGGGTCACTGTAAATTAGTGCGGAAGATTGTATATGACAGATTTTACAAAACTGGCTGTGCTGTACAAGCCGCTTTCTGTCGAAAACTAGACGAGCAAGTTTTCTTTTAAACACACAAACTGTGTCAGCCGTCACCATGTCGCTTGGAAGCGAGTTCCACGGCCTGACAACCCGCTGGCTGAATGAAAATTTTCGTCGGTCTAAACGCGTGCGCTCATTCCCGACTTTGTATGCATGGCCGCGTAGTTGGTTTGTACGGGCGAACTCAAAGAAGTCCTCTGCTCTTAATGAGCAACCCTGGCCGCGAACAATCCGGAACGTCCAGAGTAGACTGCAGTTTATTTGTCTATAAGAAAGAGGGAATAGGCCAAGCAAATTCAGCCTCTCCTGATAAGACAAATTCTTTAGACCGTCGACCATCTTTGTCGCTCTGCGTTGCACATGTTCG